GATCTTCAGCTGCTTCACACCAGTAGTTTTCCCTGGAGCCCCTTATATTTTTTTTCTAAACCCCACAGTGTTTTTTATTCCAGACCCTGTAAGCGTCAGTGTTTAGAATCCTTAGCAACCCTTTTGTCTCTAGGTTTCCTGTGCAATCATAAGAAAGTACTCTGTCTTCTATGTTCCCTCACTTCAGTGGCCTCATCTCAAGGTGAAACCTGCCCTGCCATTTCCAGGTCCAAGGAGAGAAAAGAGCAAAGCAAACTATGACTTCAGAATCACTCCTGGTTTCTTTCTTATATTCCAAAGGCAAGTATGAAACAGTGGAGCTAGGACCCCTTTTCCTTCTTTGATATTCCCCTAGTGATGGAGAAGAGAGAGCTGGGTTTTTCTGAACCACCAGCTTTCTGTCCCAGGTCTAAAGCAAAGCTCATCTGTAGGATATTCTAAATGGCACAGACACAGCAAGGGAAGATTCTGCACAGGGACAGATATAGTTAGCACACTATAAAGGCAAGGGGGAATTAACAGCTAAGGCTTTTCTTGGCTTGGATCTGGGGATTTACAGTAGCCATCAGGCTCTGAAGCCAGTAGGGGTGTGTGATCAAGTGCAACTGGATGCACTGAAGTATGAGCTGCTTCCTCCCATCCTTTCCCAAGTTAAATAGGTTTGAAACCTCGGTGTAACTTTCAAATACTTTAACCTTTAATACTAGCACCTACTACAGAATTTTGCACAAAGCAAATGTTTAACATGTGTCTAAGGCAGTGATGGTGAACCTTTTTTGGAGACCAAGTACCCTAACTGTAACCCAAAACTCATTTATTTATCACAAATATCAACGCTGCCCCTATGTGCACCTGCTGCTGTGGTGAGGCTATGGCAACTCGGCGTGTGTGCCAGCAGGGAGGGCACTACATGTCTGCTGGGGCACGCATGCCACAGGCTTGCCACCACTGGTCCAGAGGAAATATCTGAGCATTATGGGCCTAACAGTTTCTGAGAACTAAATCTTAGTAGAGAAAATGCACAATTCCATCTAGTTGCTGGATTTTGTGAAAATTAAGATGGGTCTTGACAATTTCCATTTTTGAAGTTGTTAGTTTGTTAAAATCTGAAAAAATAACTAAAATAGTGTTGCAAAATGTTTTTCTCTATGTACAAATATGTAGATTAGTTGAAATGTATTACTCATAGAGTAATTGCAACATTTAATCTTTGTGTACTAATAACTGGAGTTGTGGCAAGTAAGGGGACCCAAATTAAAGTGTGATGGTTATCTTTTTTCGGTACCGGGAATTGAACTTGGGTCCTTGTGCTTGCAAGGCAGGCCACTGAACCGCTGAGCTAAATCCCCGGCCCGGTTATCTTTTTCTTTTTTCAAATCTTGTTCATGTAATTTTGTGACTGGCTGTATTACTTAATTGAGGGAAAAGGTTAGAGGTTTAGCTGGGAGACGCTTCATGAGCATGAAGACTAAGATAAATAAATGGTCTCCACCAGCCTCACACTACTACAGATTTTATTCAATTTATACTTCTAGCCCCTTTGCCATTCTTGACAGCAGAACAAGATACAAGCATTGAACAATTATTATTTTTAGTCAATAATGGAAAAAAGTCTGCTACGTTCTAGTGTTTGCAGTACGGGCTGGACACAGAGGAAGAAACAAAACAGATACAATAGTCTCTTGTGAGTTCACAGAACTCACAGTAGAGAGGGGAGGATAGGTAGTAAGTAATCAAGAGTTCAATGCTGTAGAGGAGTGAAAACAAGGCAGTGTGAGAAATGAGAGTACAAAGGTATGGGAAACAGACTGCATCCTTCAGGTGGAATATCAAGAAGAAATTTTAATGCAAATATTAAAGTTGCAAAGAAGTCAGGAAGGGCAGAGATAAAGGAAAAGCATTCTTGGCTGAGGGAACAACATCTATGAAGTTCTCTAGGCATGGGACACTGAAAGAACCGGAAGAAATGCTAATACAACTGGAGTATTATGAGCTTTCTTCAAGTAAAGCCTCCTACTGAGTTCATGTGAGCAATGTCTTAATAGTCCTGATAAGGAGTTTATGGTATGGCTACTTCTCTTTTCATAAAACCAAACTGTTACAGAGGAAATTTGAGAAAGCTTAAAAAATAAAAACAGGATGGACTTTCATCCTGGGACAGGAATCAAAGAGTGGAATCGATGACCTTTGTAGGTCCCTCAGTTTTGGAGATACAGGGAATAGAGACCATTGGTAGAAAATTCTGGCATTGAAAATGTTTGAGAAAATTACGATATCCACATTCATAAAATATTAGGTCACTGATTCATGAGGGATTTCATCCAAACTGAAAAGATTTAACAGAACTTTTGGTTGGTTTTAATAGTAACTGAGCTTATTAGATTTGTCTTAGAAAAACTTGCTTGGTTTTGGAAAGAACAATGGAAACTCATCCTGAGCAGAAACATTCTTCGAAGATAGAACAAAGCTCATCTTTGGTCTATTCCAAATTGCACTGGTGTGAGCCAAACATATCCGATCTGAAGAGGACAAGTGAGGTTGAGATTTCCATGTGAATGCTGTGATGAAGCTATGCCAACTGTAGTGACAGGGAAGATGCTCTTAACTGGGAATATAAGTCTTATGTACTCTGGGCTGAGGTGTCCAGGAACCCCGCGACAAGTGTTAACAGCTGAAGGGTAGAAGAAGAAAGAAAATGATGGCAGTGAGAGAGAGCAAAGGACATAATGAGAAACAAGGTAGAAGAAATAAAAGACATAAGAGCACACTATTCAGGGCCATCTCAGCAAAATGTTATTTTCCTCTTCCCAAACATTCTTTTACTTAAAAGGAAATGTTAAAAAATGTTTTAGAGCATGAAGGACATTTCATTTATTTTTCCATTTTGTCAGTAAAAAAGTTTGTGGTTTTTTTTTCCCCCTCATAATGTCACACCATCGCTAAAGAATTAGAGAACCATACACCACTAGACAAAGATAGGTATTTCCAGACAGAATCCATAAAACTAGGTCAGTTGTACTTTAGATATGAATTTTTTAAATCCATAATGATGCAAATTGTTAATACTGGGTCAATGAAGCTAGAATGAGTTTAGTTTTCTCACAGCAGTTCATCTATTACTAAACCCGATTTGGCCCATCAGAAAAGATAATTTAATCTCAGGTCTCCAAAACTAACATAAATCTGAATGTAAAATGCATTTTAAAGGGAAAATGTCTTTGCTCTCTTCTTTTTCTCTCTTCTACCCAATTTCTGCAAATAAATGGTGAAGATGACAACAGTTTTTCTCTTTTAAACAAACTATATTTCTTGATACATAGAATGTTTATATATTTGTCTGGGATAAATACTGTAATAATTACAGTGATATTATTGCTATTAGTTCAGTAGAACTATATGGTAGAATGCTAGGACCAACTCTAATAAAAACCCAGTTAAATCACCCTGTATTAGAGGAACCCAGACAAGATAATGTGCAAAGTAGAACTGAATAGGAGACAATTTCAGTGGAGACCTTATCTGAAAGGCTCAGGGTCTTGAAGTGCTGAAAGAATTTTATTACGAGTCTGCACCACTGCGTGAACTCTGTGACAGCATCAAACAGAGCTCTGGTTATATTTAAGTTTAAAATTGGAAGAGAAATCCTACTGATGAAATCTAAGGGTTTCATCCAGCTCAGACGGCAAACAACTACCCATTTCCTTACAGAGGAATATTTTAAGTTTAGCTCTTTGATTTAGAATTGGAAATGATACTAAAATAGGTTTCTGAAAAAAATTAAACTATAAACTGTCATATTCCATCCCACTTAACATGAATGAGCAGAGCCTCTAGGATAAACTTGATTAACATAAAAAAGAGTAAAATCTTATTTATGTTTCTAGAGAATAAAAGATTGTTTTTTTAAAAAATCCTCAAACTGTGTTCATACTTTCCAAATAATAGCACATGTGATTCCTCTGGCTATCACTCAAGCAAATATTTTCATTTTAATGAAAGTTGCTTCCTATATTTCTTTTTCTAAGGTCTCTTATTAAAAGTTAGTTTTCTATTTAGTGATTTAGAACTTGCTGTTTAGCCTCAAAGTCACCCCTGAATAATCTGTCATGGGAGAGGCTCATCTTAGCGTCAATGGTGACAACAGTAATATGAAAAGTAAAAGGGCAGCACTGACTAGGTGCAGGCTTATGTAAACGTAGGTTATCATTTCATGCTCAAAACTACCTAAAAGTTGTTACTATTGCCACTTGTCTTTTACAGAAGAGGAAATGGACACATATGGAGGTTAAGTAATTTGTTCAGTGTTACACATGTAAGTAAAGCCAGTTCATTAGATCCCAGAATCCACCCACAGTTTCTATTAGTGCACTTTGTCATTTCTCTACTGCTGAAGAGCACAAAGCTTCCAGACAATGGAAAGAGAATGACCATACACTTGAGTTTTCTGTAGGCCTTACAAAGACTGAAGATGGACAAAGACCTTGGCCACATTGTAGAACCTGAAGACTGCTAGGCTAGATCAGACTCATAGTGAATAAATTCTATCGCACTAGGAGGGTCCTATAAAAGTAATACTGGCTAAGAACTCAGGTTCTGGTGTTGGTTAAACTAGGAAGGTTCAAATCTCTACTGGTGTGCTCAATTACTTTATGACTTAATCTCCTTGATTTAGGTTTCTTTTGCTATAAAAGGAAAGCGATAATAGCATCTATCACATAAACTTGTAAGCTATAATAAAATAATGCATGTAAAGTTCATATATCATACTTGGTACATCCTAAATCCTTATAATGTTAGGTATTACTTTTTGGATTCCTAAGAGAAAAAGACCTCAGGAACCAAAATTCTGAATAGGAAGCACACCATTTTCCCATATCCATATCTCTAATACTGAACAGACATCTAAAAGGTCACAGGCTCCTTGGCTAATCACTGATGCCAAAAAAGGATAACAGGGTGGCCTTAGCCTTGCATTCAGGAAGGAAGGGGACATTACTGACCGAGCCGATGAGGTTGGCTCTGTGACTTGGCGCTGCATGCGGACCCCATGTGCACAGTTCTCCTGGACCCCCGGCTGGGTGGAGAAGGGAATGTCTGGGGAGGTGTGGCTTATCTTCATGGAGGAGTCAGGGCAGGGTGTGGGTGTGTCCATGAAGTCCTCACTGTTCTCTTGCTCATTGGTCTCTGTGTCCATGTAGTTAAGAGGCTCCTGGTTGTTGTCTTTGCTACCAGAGAACAGGCCTCGTTCTCGCCATGGAACCCAGCAGAGTTTCCAAGACACGAAGAGAGACACACCAAAGAGGGCAAGACCACAGGCAGTGACCACGAGGGTCAGCAGGCTCACTGAGATATCTGTAAAGAAGCAAAGATCACAGGTCAGTGTGACTGTGCCTCCCACATCCACCCATCACACGATGCGGGCAGAATGACCCTCGCATCTGTTCATCCCTAAGGAGCTGGCTGCAGGAGGCCAGGCTGGGAGATATTCCTGGATCATCTGATTCTGGGACAGTGACAGTGAGAATCCAGACATAACCAGAAAACCAGTGAGCAAAACCAGAGGGAATATAACGTAACATGGAGGCCATATTTAGAAGAAATAAGCAGCCTGTGGCAGCAAGAAACAAGGCATTCCTAGGGGGCCCAGGAATCCCTGTTAGTCCACTAAGACCCCTCCTACAGGCAACATGAGTCATACATGTTTTCTGAACAGGGCACTTTCAACTGTCCTTAAAAATTACTTGGTCATCCCAGAGAGCTATACAATATAATTGCAGAATTAAGTCACAACTTCTTAAAACAAGAAAAAACAGAAGTGCTTTTCTTTTTGTTTTTGTCATTAATTTTTAAGGGTTTAGGCAACATGAAGCCCAAATCTTATGTGGATTTTGCAGTCTCAAGAATTCCACTCAGTGGTCAAGTCCTTGGGACTCAGAGCAGACTGTCATGGCTTGAGATTCCCCAGAAGTAGACCCTGAGACAAGTATGCAAGAGTGAAAGGTTGATTTAGGTGGAGAAAACATAGATAGGAAAAGTGGGGGACGTGATCCAGAGAAGACAGCCAGTAAATGGGGCATTATCAAGCCAGTTACCACAGAGAGGGACTAGAGGTGAAGTCTGCTGGGGAGAGATCATATGTCTCAGAGTTATGCCACCAAGAGGGTGAGGGACTTGGGCTTCTTATTTACCAATTCCTTTTAGTCATTGATCTGACGGCAGCTCTCAAAGGGCATGAAATATTACATCTCAACTGGTCATACAGAAAAAATGAGTTTTGGTGGCCAGAAAAATCCCTCACTTGAATCAGTGCAGAGGTCATACTGGATGGATATCAAAGGCACATAATAAAGTGGTAAAGGTGAAGGCATGGTACATGGCAGGTAATAAGAGCCTCTGAAATGGACCACAGCCCTGTGACCAATGTCTATTCTTCTAGCTTTCAGATCAAAGTCTAATTCCCTTTAGGCTCCCACCCCACTCTACCACAGAGCCATGGAGGCTTAAGCATCGATTGGAACTAATTCCTGACAGTATTACCTTAAAGAACACACCTACCTATCATGACTGTGCTGCACTATACTTAGGAGGCCCGAGGTTTTGCCTCTATGGTCTATCATTAATATCTGTATTGCTTCCACCCAAAATTTTCTGAAGGTCCACTATGTGCCAGGTACTACTAGCTTGTGAGATACAATGCAGAACATGACACTCCACACCTTCATAAAGTCATGCTCTAGTAAAGGAGAAAATCAGAAATTCATTATTAAGTCTTCACAATGTCAACTATCCACATCAACATTCTGTGATCTGTGGCAAACTATTCCTGTGGAGGCATGCATGGGACCTTTCTGCAAACCATTTAGTTATGAAATCAAGCTGCTTTTCACCATGATTCTGAAGGCACTTGATCATTCTCAGGAAATGGTACACAGTCTCTTCATGAAGCTTTGCTCTTCAGAGAAAGTCAGCGCTTACTGGTGAAGGAACTAACTTATCCCCAGATGCTTCCCAGTCAGTCTCTGTCCTTGCAGTGAAACAATGTAACATTTCGGAAAACACTGGGATTCCAGTTTCAACCTGGCTGACCCAGCTCAAATCTGTCCCTTTTGCTTCCTCAAATCCACTGAAATGGCATAAGCAGTGGAAAAACAAGAAAGGGCAACTGATCTGTTTCTGAACCAGTAATTGAAAGGAATTTCTGGTTTTGGGAAAAGCCAATCAGCTCTGAAAACTCAGCACAGACAAATGAAGAACCGAGATTTTAAAATCCTAAGTACGGGATGGGAGATAGAATAGTTGGTGGGGGCAAAGTAAAAGCCACTAAAAACCACACCTCACAGCGCTCTAACATGAGGCGGGGCTCATTTGGCTCTGACAGCTCATGCAGTGGAGTAGAAAATTTACTGGTGCAGACTTCTGTGAAAGGTGATAATAATTGGGGGCATAAGTAAGGAAGAGACCCTGTCCCAGCTGTCATAGAAAACATTAATCTCTACTCCCCTCCAGTCATGTGTAGTGGCACACATCTATAATCCCAGCATTCAGGAGGCTGAGGCAGGAGGATTCCTGAAGGTTTAAAGCCAGCCTGGATGATATAGCAAGACCCTGTCTTTAAAAAAAAATAAAAAATAAAGACAAAGCAGGGTCTACAGAGAAGTCAAATTCCTTAATACATTCTGTATAAAGGTAGAGCCTCTTCCCTATGAACTGATAATTACTTCAGCTTTGTCCTCACACAGAGACTGCTAGCAAAACACCAGCAAGGTTGGAGGCGGGCAGGCTAGGTCTAGGAATGTGAGGTGATAACTGGATTATTCTGCACTGGTCCCTCTCCCCTGCCGCAGTGCTTCACTCCAAGGGGCCAGCACAAATCCCAAGCCTCTGACAGTGACTCTGAACGTGTGACTTGCTCTAGCCCATGGAAGAGCACTTGTGAGCTCTCACCTTGAGCAGAAGAAAGAGCTTTCAGGTTATGGATGATCTTCTAGCCTGATTACCATACAATGACTTCATACATAGGCCCGAAGTCAGATTAAACCAGGGTCAGACTGTGTAACAGATATGCAAGTGAACCATAGATCCATCAGCAAAAACTAAGCATTTGGTATTTTATGTCAGTAAGATTTTAAAGGCATTTGCTGCCATAGTAAAAAAAAAAAAAAAAAAAAAAA